ACTAGAGTTGATGAGAGGGTTAGGGTTTTAAATTGTAACTAAAAGGGCAAAATTGATATTTCAGTTTGTTTATGGGGTCTATCAAATTAAGATTAAAATTTGAGTTTTTTACTAAAAATAAAAATCCATAAGAACTATCCCTATATATTTTCAAAACTAGGGGGTTATTCCTCATTTCCCCATATATATATATATATATGGGTTATATGACAAAACCCCCCTCAATGAAATTTTATGTTATGATAAATTCAATTTTTAATTAAAAATTTGATATAAACCCATTTGACTTAAATTATCTAAAATGTCCTTATTATACTCTCTCTTCAAAATAATTTCCCCATAAATTTCTTTCAGTTTTTTATTTTTTCATTCCTTTTCTTTTGTTGATTTATTTCAAAAAAATATGGTTTTTTTTTTATTTTAATTTTATTTAAAAATATTTTTATTTTATTTAACTTTTCTATTTAGTTTTTATTTTTCCAACAGTTGGTTTAAAAAATATGATTTTAATTCCCAATTTGTTTATTTATTTTTTTAATTTTTAATTTTTTTCACCAGGATTACAAAAATTAAAATTCACTATATACTCATCGAAAACGACTATATATCTTCGAAAACCATTATATATTTTCGAAAACCACTATAAATTACCCTAAAATTCACGGTAATATTAACGTAATCCACTTTAATATTAGCATAGTCCACAACAAACTTATCGAAATCCACTAAAAACATATGAAATCCACTATGAATGAACGTAATCCACTACTAACACAACTCGAAAAACAACGAAAAAACCCGCTAATCCACTATTCATAAATCCACTAATTCAAAACGTAAATCCACTATTTGGTCCAGGAAAAGTGCACCACCACCACCACGTAAAAGGATCGCGATGCGTCATTCCGGGTATTGTACTACGGCAACACCACCACTTAAGTGTTATCCGCGAATGCCCAAAACATACGTTCAACGACAAACCCTCTCTCGTGGAACTCCCAGTGGTGCCACATGTTTCCAACTAAGTCTCTTGCCTTCTTGGTGGCCGATTTGCACCCTTCTTTCTCCATTCACACAAAACATCCTTAACCTCGTTGCATTATCTAACATCCCCCCTGCCGCCATTGCTTGATCTGTCAAGAAACTGTAACAAGAAAAAAGAAATCAAAGACATGTCAATTCAATTGATTCAAAACATCTCCCTTTCCAAGCAACTTAAAATCCACTCAAATCTTATCGAAATCCACTATAAAGTTATCGAAATCCAATTATCGAAATTCACTACAAATTTATCAAAATTCAATAGAAAATTAACTTACTCCACAACCAAATTAACATAATCAAGTATGTAACTATCTAAATCCACTATTAAACTATTCGAATAAGAAAAAAATCCCATTAAATAAAAAAGGACAACAAAAAAGTGGTTAAAAAAACAACCTCAACGTTGATTTGCAACTCCATCGGAATTTATCGAAATTCACTATAAAATTAACGAAGTCCACTATACGATACAACCAAAAAACAATAACAAACATATAAGATTTATGTTTTAATTTTTCAAAACTAATCACAAATCCAACGAAAAGTTGTCGATGAATTCATACACAAATTTATTTTTATTTTATTTTATTTTTTTCTAAACATTGTATTGGTTGCTGAATTCCGAGGTTTTGCTTCTGATGTCAAAAAATATATAGAGGAACACAACTTTTTTTACCATTTTGGTTTGAAATATCAAATTCATCCAATAATCATTTTGTACAAAAAATGGTTAATTTTTTTTTTTACATAAAAATGTACCTTCTGTCCGAATTGGAAAAAAATAATTATACTCAGAATTAAAGAACATAATTCTATGTTTCGTACGAACATTCCCAATTATCAAAGAAAACAAATTACCCAATTAAAAGTTGAGAGGCTCCGAAAAAACAATTAATAAAAATAAATAAGAAAAAATAAAAATTTTCTATTTTTTCGTATAACCCATACATCTCGTCGACCCACCGCAAAACATCGCCGCCTCTTTCTTCACCGACTGGGAAGATTGAGATCGCTGCCCTAAAGGATCAAGGAGCCGCGGTGCTGTCGTGGTGAATGACGAGGAGGCAGACGAAGGCGGTCCATTAGAGCGGTGAAGATGGGGGAGGCGATGGAGTGGGAGGTCTCACCCTCAGCGAAGGAACCGAGATTTGGGGGAAGAGATCGATAATGTGGATAAGAGAGGGGACGACACCGTTGAAAGAAGAGATAGAGAGGAGAAATCTGTAGAAAAAGAAAATATTGAGAACGTGAATTGTATAGGGTTAGGTGAAGGGTATAAAAGTGAATTAAATTATTTATGATTAATTAAAAGATATTTTGGATTTATCTTAAAAAATGAAAAAAAATTGGACCTCTCTTAATTGGACAATGCATATGAGGGGGATTTGTGAAATAATTCCATATATATATATAATATATATATATATATATATATATATATATATATATATATATATATATATATATATATATATATATATATATATATATATATATATATATACACACACACACACTTACACAATCGTAAGTGTACTCTCTTCGGGTCAAGAAAACTCACGATTCATAGTTTACGATCTATGTTAATATTATAATAAAATAAGAGATTAGCTAGACAGAGGATAAGAAAAATAAAAATCTAATGTGTGAAATTCTGTGCTGCACGGACACTTCTAGAAGGTGAAGAGTCCCCGTATCCGACACCTAGACACTCGGACACACTCGGATACTTCTCGGACACCCGTGTCGGGCCGTATCGTAATTTCGCTAAAAGTAGGACACCCGTGTCGGGCAGTGTCCACAATTTTAAAAAAGTTGGGATACTTCTCTTACGTTTTAAGAGAGAACCCTAATAAAAAAAAATGCACATTTTCTTTTCTCTATAATACACATTTCCTCTATTTTCTTTGAGAGCCACAAAAAACTCCAAAAGTCTAGCATGCAACCGCGCCAAGAACACAAGCAACAAGGGCAAGCGGTTCTCTTATGTGATGACGACTTATACATATTTTTTACAATTTATGAATGTACCCCTATATTTTTATTTTTTTATAAATATACCCCTATATTTTTTATATTTACACGTGTCCCCAGCGTGTCCGTATCCTAGTTTTTTGAAATGCCGTATCACCGTGTCCGTATCCGCGTATCGCCGTGTCCACGTATCCGTGTCCGTGCATCATAGGTGAAATTAATTATTGTGAAACTGTGACTATGAGTGAAATTGAACTTGTGATTACTTAGTTTATGAAGTAATGTGAAAGTTATGTATTCGTTATGCGTATAATTATTTGGGTTATGTGCTCTTACATAAACATAATATGGTTACTTTGGTTACTTGAAAATACGTGTGCTATGTGATCATTTTCACTTATGTGGTTTGGAAGCATAGAATTAAGCATACATATATTGAATAAAAGTACAATTTTGTATACATGAAAACTTTTTTGAAGGTTCTGATGAACAAGCACGGAATATGGAAACATATCCTACATCCATAGTAAACTGGAAGAATTTCTTATCGAGAAAGGGCAGGGGCGACTATAACAAAAGATATAACTCACTTTAAAAACTGATTACTATAGAATACGATTGAGAAAGGGATAGTTGTGACTATCACAAAAGGTATGGTTCGCACTAAACGAGTTACACGATTTATCGTCGAAACCGTGAAACAGTTTTTCAAACGGGCTCCAAAATGATTTTTCATGCATACAATTGTGTTATGTGTTGCATTTTTGCATAATGTAATGATATGGAAAAAGATAAATGGTTATGAGAATGTTTGAACGAGTACTAGAAAGTGTTATCGAACCGAAAAGAAAGGAAAAATGGAAATTGAACGAAAAGGTAAAGAAAAAAGGCAAAATAGTAGGTGGAAGCTAAGAAGTATGTGACATTTATGTATATTATTTATGAGTATAAATCTATATAATTAAATATCTTAACGCTTGCTATGCTCCAATGTTTTTATTGTGACTTTTAAAGGCTCATATAGGCTTTGCTCGATGTAAGTTATTCAAGCACCGGTGAAGACGAATAACATTGGAGCCAAGTCGAAGAGCCGAAGGGTTGGCTCAAATAGAGCCGGTAGATTTTAGTAGCTTTAATACTATTATTATGGTTTTATTTGTATAGTACTTTTAAAACTTCATAACGTTATTATGGAATGTACTACCATACAATGTTTCTGAGTTATGGTAGTTATTATTATTATTATTTGCAACCGACAATGGAAATTTTTTTAAAGTTATTTTTGGGATACCAATTTTACTCTTATAATATATTATTTTCCCATTAAACTTGTCTTCTCTCGAACGTATTCTAAGTATTAGTAATGTTAAATCGAACAAGAAAAATCGATTTATGATGTGTTACCAAACCATCTACAAGCCAAAACATCGGAACAAGGTTTTAAAACTCTTATAATTTCAAAGTGTAAGTAAAAGAATATTTTTATATTCACCTCTTAAATTTTATAGAAAACATTGACGCTGTCATTTTATCCATAAAACATTTATACAATTTTTCTTATAAAGAGAAATAAATATAGGGTACAACAAAAAGATAGTTGTTGAGCAATTGATGATACAAATGGTGATTTGATTTTTGCATTTTCAATACCCTTTGATATTTATTGTAGCAAATGTACGTGCTAATAAAGCTTCAAACTATGGTAGAAAAATATGGATGTGTTTCATAATGTGGGTAATGAATGAATGAAAGCCTCAAAAGTTGCAAGTAAAAGGCCCAATGGGCTCGAAATAGCAGGCCGCGACGGTAATTCGGATGCTTTACTGATATCGACAGTTCGGCCGTGGTTTGGATTTCCCCAAATCCAAGAATATCCATCCCCCCAAACCCCCCCCCCCCCCTCCCCACTTTAATCAAATCTCAACCTTCTTCATTTTCGATTATTTTAGTTTTCTTTTTTCTTTTCTTTATTTTTTTGATAAATAAAAATTAATGCGAAGCAGACACAAAACACAAAACCCCTCGAATTGAATATGCAATCATCATCCACTTCGATTGCTCCATGGCACACTTGCTATCACTATTATTACCCTGTTCCTCCTAATCGTCTCTTCTCTCACCATCATCTCCATTTTCACCTTCCCACCAAAGTTTCTCTCACCTCTTATTTCCATTCCAAGAATCATCGCAGCGGTCTCACACTCAGCGCCGCGGCTCACAGTTGCAGTAAAGAACACGAAAAGAAGCACACCACCAACAACAACAATCATTATCCGGATACCAATCCGTACCCAGGTCAGGAAAATCGGGAACTGTTCCGAGATTTTCGATCTTCTATTGAGAATCCCGAACCCCAATTCGAAGATAATTCGTCGAACATGAGGTGGGCTGATCTGAAGGCGGCATTGGGGCAGAGGATTAACCTTGAAGGCATAGCTTGCTCCGTCGGGATATTCTCCAAAGACAAGCAATTGGTAATACCGCATGTTAGTGTGCCAGATATTAGGTTTATTGACTGGGCCCACCTCAAAAATCGAGGGTTTCAAGGTGTGGTGTTCGACAAGGATAACACTATCACTGTTCCTTACTCTTTGGACTTGTGGCCACCTCTCCAATCATCTTTGGAACACTGCAAATCTTTGTTTGGCGATAACATTGCCATTTTCAGTAATTCTGCTGGTAATTTGTGATATCCATTTGGGATCAGGGTTTAGGCGTCTTCTTAAGCTAAATTAAATGTGCCTGATTTCCTGAATATAAATTTTTTTTTTCTCCATATTATCAGGGTTGTTTGAGTATGATCCCGACGGGAAAAAAGCTGCAGCTGTTGAGGATGCAATTGGAATCAAAGTGATACGGCACAGTAAGCTTTATTTCTATACTTTAAACGTTTTCTTACAATTTTTATGTACATAATGAGGATGCGAATTAGCTTTTAGTGTTATGTGTTCAATTGGAACTGTGAATTTGGTATTTAGGTAATGTTTATATCATGAAATGGTTCTCTCGAGTGTTGTCTGATTTTATTTATTTATTAAAAATAAATATAGAGGTGAAGAAGCCAGGTGGAACAGCTGAAGAAATCGAGAAGCACTTTGGTTGTGAATCATCTAAACTTATCATGGTAAGATTCTGTCAAGTGATATGTTTTGTTACGTTTTCTTGGTAACTATTTTATTTTTGTACTGTGAATTGTATTGTTTTGTCACATACTATAATGGCTATGCAAATGGTAGGTGGGTGACCGGCCCTTCACAGATATTGTTTACGGAAACAGGAATGGTTTTTTCACTATACTGACTGAAGCATTGAGTCTTGCAGAGGAGCCTTTGATTGTGAGGCAGGTTAGTGTACACATCTCTTCCTAAGTTGCTCTTCATTCAACTTTGTATTATTACGAATATAATTATTGGTTACTATTGCAATTGCTTAAAGAACTAACATCATTCGTGAAACATTATAGGTGACACAACTAATATCGAAAAATTTATATCATTTTGTAAAAACCTGCCGCCAGCCAACTCCTGATGGCCTCTTTTTGTTTGTGTTGTCTACGGCTTTTTTTGCACAACTAATTGGAAAAGAAGACACATTGAAAACTTTTGTTTTCTGTTCTCATCATCTCATATGTTCTTATTTGAGCAAGAATAAAATTCATATAAAAGTTGTTTTGGGAATTTTTTTTTCGGAAACCTTAACAAACACGAATTCATTTCGGGGAAAGAAATAAAGTGAGATGAAAACGTAACCAGACATTGCCCATGTGTTTGTTATGAATCATTTAAAGAATATGAAAACACGTGAAAGTTATTCTGCCTTTATCGATCTACACATTCAAAAGCTGCTGCTTACTTTCGTCTCTGCCTAAACTATTATTTTCTTGCTCAAGTCAAATGCAATTTCTGAGGGCAGATAATGTTGCAAAAATATAATTTTATGTCATAAGCTTAATCTTGTATTCTCTGGGTACATTTTCAAATTTCAAGTGAAACGTACAAATTGTCTCTACTTTTGGCTGTCTCATGCTATATTCTTTCGGCAACTCAATTGATAGAAAGAAAATGTGGAATTGAAGAAAAAGAAAAAATGGGCATCTACTGTATCTTGTTCATCTGAATACTAGGCGTAATTCCTCTACAGAACCTTTTCTTTTTCTTTTCTTTTTCTGGGCATATTTTGGTAAAAAAAGATATTTGCAGGTGAGGATGTTTGAAGTGGCCCTCGTTAAACGATGGTCCGGAAAAGGGTTGCTGCCGGTCAGCCAAAAGCTTATTATGTCTGGTCCAGTGAAATGTGTTAAGGATATACCACTATGATAATGAATGTAGCAAATCAGTCTTTTTTTATTTTATTTTTTTATTCTTTTTCGCTGTATTCTACAATGTCTCAATTAGTTTCCCATGGAAATTTTCTCCTGGGGTTTCTGTAAAGCAATTTCGTATTAATTAGAGTACCGTTTAGAAATTTCCATGGCATGCACCCAAATCAAGTTTCTGCTTATATACCCTCAATATTATATATAGCTTTCTGTATCTATGCAATATATATGTTTCTCTTAACTTATTGATCGTATATTGCCCTAGTGGTAATTGATCAAAAAAAATAGGGTAAAGTTCAAAATATCTACTTGAACGATAACCAACGTATAAAATACCCCCTGAATATCAAAATGTTACGATAGGTCTACCCTGTTTTTGTTGAGGGTGCTCATTATTCATTTTCTCATGTTCTTCAGGAAAAACGATCCTAACTGAAACATTCACAACTAGAATATAAGACTTCGTGACTTTACTGGCATCATTAAATGCATCAGGAAGTCTATTGGCAATATTTTGTAAATGAATGATTCTTTAGATCTCATTTTCACATTCAGAGATAGGTAGTCTAGATGGGTTAAATGTTTCTCACACCATGTAAGATTCTCCATTGAGTTTATTTTTATTATTATTATCAGGATATTTTTAATATCCTTACCAATCAGTATAAATAATGTCTCATCAAAGTACAGTCTTGACGGTGAATTAAGCGGTATATCCCCAGTCGGCGTTGGGGACCCATTTTAGTCCTCTGATGCTCAAAACCCAAGACTAATTGCATTGGATAATGCATATGATGGGCAGTGGAGCGTAATATAATTAGTACTGATGCATACAAATACTGCATAACCTCATGCCACACTTGTGAGTTTTGAATATATATATACATATTAACATATATAATTAAATATATGAACTTTGCTGGTACGAAAATAAATCTCGAGAAAGTCAAGTGCATGAGAATTGCACTTGAGATAATTATGAAACCAGACAAAAATGGAAGGAAGATAATTTGCTGGAGGAATTCGTGTGTTTTTTCTATTGCCCAGCATCACTATATATCAAGGTTGTAAAAAGCGGTAATCGGGTCCGAGTCGGTTAGGCACCGACTCACGATTAATCGGTGCGGCGGTGATTAATCGTTGATAAATCGGAAATAAATCGGTTTTTAAAATTTAATATAATATATTTCTAAATATTATTTATAAACACTCCAAACATATATAAAAAGATATTTAAACATAGTTATATCTCCATCATGTATATATCCTAATAACATAATAAAAGTTTAATAATCATAAGATCATAATACATAAATATCCTTATAAAATATAAATAAATAAAACATTTTTTTTGAATTTACATTTATTCTTGAACATTCCTGGCATATATCATTAGTTCTTTAACAATAAAAATTAACATAAACATAATAAGGCATAAACTCATATTTTCTTTTATTAAAATCCAACTTTTATTTTGAATTAAAAAAAAAACAAAAAAAAACCGATTTTAACTGATTTTTAACCGATTTTTGCCAAAAGGTTTGACCGCCTAAAACCGCCTCACAGGCAAAAAACCGATTTTTCAAACCTTTACACTAAAATTGTAAAGGTTTTGGACCGCCTCCGCCTCAGAGACCGTTTAATCGGCCGCCTTGGCCGATTTTTAGAACACTGCTATATATACAAACTAATAACAAGATGTGTCATG